TGCTATTCCATACCAATCTATAACTGAGCCAAATTTCATCCATATCCGCTCAACCATTCTAGTATCTCATAAACTTTCGTGTTTATAATATTAACGGCGTGTTGCTTTGACACTTTAATGGTTAAAAAAATTAAAATAAAGGGTCATTGGGGTTTAAGACGTTCAAATGAATAACAATATGATTTGGTAACCGGTTGGGACCTGGACCGGTTTTACGATCAGCTGGGCGGTCGGGGTCGCATTCATAGATCTTGTACCATCGTATTTGTGATAATGGGTTTTGTATAATACATCGGATCGGATAGATCGATTATTTAAAGTGCATCGATTTTAGACCCATGAAAAGACCAATCGAATAAAGAATTGGTAGTTCTAGTAAAAACAGGAAAAAAATTGAATCTTAATTAATTTTATAAGTTTTAGGGAATAAATATTTGTAAACAGTATGCAATACACTTGCCTTATCGTATACTTTTTAGGTATTAAATCGTTAGGTATACGAAAATATATAGGTACGTAGATATACCTATAGGTACCTACTCGTATGTATGTGATACCCTTATAGAATCAAAAGGAAAAATGTGATTTTTTTGAGCCTAAAATTTTCAGACTACCCAGTATTTACCTAACTCTTTAAAACGAGAACAAGAGGAATGGTAACTTTGCGTACGGCGCGGCGTTACGTAGATATGTAGCGTCTAGTATTGAATAAAATTATATCATGGAGAGTGCTGCGAGGAATTGTTCGGACTAATACCAGCCGCAACTTTCCGTCATCTTTCCACACGGCAAAATTTTCATCTTCACCACTTGGCTAATTGGCACTTCACCTTTGTACCTACGCTTATCAAGACACTTTTTGCCTACCAATCTGTGGAACAAGTTATCGTCTGCGGTATTTCCTGTCCGATACGACCTTCAAGACAGCGTACTCCTTCCTTAAAGGCCGTCAACGCGCTTGTGTCTCCTGAGTTGCAGGCGTTCATGGGCGGCGATAGTCGCTTTCCACCAAGTGACCCGTCTGCTCGTTCGCCCCCTCTTCCATAACGAGTGCACGGTTGGCGTAGTGGTTCAAGCAGTCGCCACGCTGCTTACAACTACGCTGAGTGTTGTGGGTCCGATCCCTACATGGGACGACACTTAGTGTAAATCACAAATTGTTGTTCTGAGTTTGGGTGTTCTTTGTGTCCTTTTCATGTATGTTTGTAAAGTCACCCGCGATATATTCCTAATAAAACCAAAACTCTCAAATCATAAATAAAACCAAAATAAAGGTGTACGAATTAACTGTGAAAAGGTTTCATATATAAGTGTAGGAGTAATAAATTAAAAACTTATACTTAAAAACCACTGATTTTCACTTCAATTCATTATTTTTAGGTATATAAGTGAAATAAGATTCTCAGATACATTACATACCTAAAATAATAACCTCACACATCTTTCACACGGCCCTCTGGTCGCAGACTAGACAGAGATTGTTATATGGACACCAGACTGCTGAAGAAACATAGATAACTATCTAGTGGTTTATTTCTTAATACAAACATGTTATAGTTAAATTACTCCTAGAGATAGAATAAATGATGACTATTAAAGGCTGTTGATGATGATGAAGTGTCTTCCGATTTTCTAAAGTCTACGATCATATCAAATGATGGGTTTCTATTGCAATTCCTAGTAAATATGCTTGAAAATCTCAAATTCGTGTTAAAATTCTATTTCTATTTAAAAAGAACGTCTTTTAAACTAGAAACACGTAAGCACGTCGATGGGGAAAGGGGGGTTCGTATGGCGGATGGGCCTCTGGTAAAAACGTAAAACAAATCGGGCCTCTCCCTCTTGGGGCTTATTCTGCTCTATTAGGTCTTGTCAATCCATCCTACTTAATAGGGATGTCATAAAATCACAATCACATGTGATGTATCATATTTTTTATAAATCATATCATCACACCTGTGACTGGTTTACAAAACCACTGCTACTTAATTATTACGCTAGCGCAAGACTCGCGAAAGGACTAAAACCTAAAAAAAGTCGAAATATTTGATGAAAAGAATTTTGATTGATTTTAATGCCATTTATCATTGTCTATGACGAAATCACAATCGCATGTGAAATCGCTGTGACAAAAACCAATCATTATCAAATGAATATGATTTAATTATAGCAATAATTTCCATGTCTACTACTTATAGAATACTGCGATTGCACAGATGGCAAAGTGGCTATAGCGGTCACCTCACCTTTTCCTACTACGCTGAGTGTTGTGGGTTCGACCCCCACATGGGAAAACACTTTGTGTGATTCACAAATTGTTGTTCTGAGTCTGGGTGTTCTTTGTGTCCGTTACATTTAAGTAAAGTCACCCGCGACACAGGAAACATCCCTCTAGTTAGGTATTACTCAGGATTAGGTATTCCTATTGCGGGACTTTTTTTTAAAAGAAATACAAGACGGATTAAGAGATTATTAGAAATAAATAGATTTTAAAAGTGTAGTATGTAAGTAAGTACCTATAGGTGTTGGTAGGTAGAGAGACACATTTAATAGGTGCCAGTTATAACCAACATAAATCTTTACTATCACGTGAAGCCGCCCTTGGACACCTGCAAACTAAGTCACAAATTCAGAATTCAGGAAGGGGTTTGGCTGAACAGATTTTAATGAAATTAACACAAAGACAGGCCAGGTTTTATCTCGAAAAATAACGAAGAAATTTACAACAAGAATGCGAGGGGAGCCGCATAAAAACACTAGTATATTTCTCATTTTTTAGTTACCGGTCGATACTACCTACTAGGTATCGTCAACAAACTGCCTTTAATTAGACCACTGCTGGACATAGGCTTCTCCTTACATAGCAGGTTTTTTTTAAATGGTATAAGGGGGCAAACGAGCAGACGGGTCACCTGATGGTAAGCAACTACCACCCATGGACACCTGCAACTCAAAAGCCACAAGAGCGTAGCCGCCCTTGGAGTCCCTCCCGCTCGAGTCACTGGGAGGGGGGGATTTGGGTTCCGTTAACCTCACTCACTCAGTGAAAGGCAACGAAAGAATTGCTTAACACCGGTCTTCTGTGGAACTTCTTTTCAAAGTTTTGGCCTACTATACCACGCTGGCCGGACAGGTTGGTATAGGGTTTGTGTCAAGTTTTCCTTGCTCCCTTAATCGGCTTTTACGACACCCACGGTTGATACAATCAACGATTCCTATTTATACCTACTAGGTATAGTATTTGATATCTTTAATTATGATAATTTTGTATCTTATCAGCGATATTCAGTGCGCGATAATCCAATAATTTATAGCATACATTTATATTAATAAAGTTATAAATACCGCTTGTGAAGGTGGCTTTGATTAATTGCTCAGATATCGTATCGGATGAATTAAAGTGATAGCTGTAGGTTCGATATCATCGAACACCTGGTCTGTGAACATAACTGTGTGGAATAATTTCCTTAATGGCTGGTTAGCAGGCCATTTATGGTCTTTAGGAAAGTGACCTGTGGGCTACGAAACTTGATAGCAGGGAAAATTGTCTTTTGAACAGATGGGGTACAGGCAGGCAATCTGTCTTTTTACTTATAGGGAGCGTTCAAGCAGATCACCTGATGGTGGCTTTCGCCGTCCATGTACACCTGGTTTGAGGGCCGAGGGTTTGTCGCGTTGCCGGCCTTTTGGAAGGAGTACGCTCTTTTTTTTAAAGGTCGGTTCGGAAATACCACAAACGATAACTGGTTCCACAGATTGGTTGTGCGAGGCAAAAAGTGTCTTAAAGTGCCAGTGGAGCGTCAATCATCCAAGAACATTTTGCCGTGGTATCACTGGTAGAGCCACATGTGTCGAAGTTGCTCTCCCACGGTTAAAGGGTGTCCTGCCCTTGCTTTTTAACACAGAAAACCGGTGTTAAGCAATTCTTTCGTTGCCTTTCACTGAGTGAGTGAGGTTACTGAAGCTCAAATCCCCGAGCTGCAGTCCGAGCAAATGAGCTCGAGTCAGCGGGATGGATTTCAAGGGCAGCAACGCACTTGTGACTTTTGAGTTGCAGGTGTCCATGGGCGGCGGTAGTTGCTTACCATCAGGTGATTTCATCTCACGAGACTCAACTCTTTAGAAAAAGTACAGGTAGAAGCAGTATCTATTATCTACGCGTCAACCATGTTTTTTTAACCGACTTCAAAAACACAAAAGAGGAGGTCCTCAATTCGTCTGTATTTTTTTATTTTACTTTCGACTGAGGACTACCTATAAATTAGATGTAGCGATCAATGAATCATTCAAATTAATTATTTACCAAAATCGAATTAATTGTGTTAAAACTTTTACAAACTTAAAGTTTAAAGAATTGGGGATAGGTTCTCTTTCTTGTGGTGGAGATTTTACTCTGAAAACCTTTTAATCTTAGTCAATATTTTTTTTTAGGTTTTAATTATTTTTGCTGGACCTTCGCGGAGGCTTTATAGCTTTCTGACAACTTATACAAAACTCCTAATCACAATGTCTTTTACTTCCTAAAGCTGGTATCCGGAGCAGCTGACACGATATTAAAAAACCCGATAAAAATCTTACAAATGCGTACCTATCTATTTGATCGAAGGCACACCTGCAGCCTGCATCTTCTAGCAGTAATGTGATACTTTACAATCCTCCCACTCGTAAATCTTCTAAGTTTCCTACTTTGAAACCATCTTAGATGAGTAATAATAATAAAATAATCTGAAATTATTTACTTTCTGTAAAGCTATTGGGTTTTTTAAATTGCATATTCCATACGCAACCTATATTTTACATTTTTTAAGTGTTTTATGTTTTACAAAATTGCCATACTGCTAAAGTTTTGTTGTTTTTTTTTGTACCGATTACTTCATTATAGGTGTATAGTGTAATATTTTGTAATGTGTAAGAAAATAATGTATGACTGTGCGTCCGTGCAGCGTACCCGGCACGTGCCGACTCGCTGCACCGCCACGTCATTGTACGTTGTTGTGCAGACGCGGCGCAGGCGGCCATGACGGTCGGCGTGGCGAACGTACTCTGCGACGAGCGGCCCGCCCCGCTGGCGTGGCCCGCGCCGCCCGCCGCGCCGCCCCCCGCACCGCTCTGGCCCTACCCCGGTGAGTCACCTCCTACTTACTACTGGTACCCTGGTAGCTACGCGCCAACTGCATTGCGAGACCGCCGTTTCAGCGGCACAGGACCCTGACCAGAAATGAAAATTTACCACTGCGTCACTAATGAGAACGCTCACTATACTTATCTCGTGTTAACGCCCAATGAGTGAAAGAGAACGCATACCGTTGGAGTAAAACTGGCGCCTAATTCTGGGTGAGCTATCCCGCCCGTTTAGACATACCACCTCTTCACTCATGCTGCTTTGGTAACGGCATTGCAACTACACGCGTCCGGTCAATAGTCGTCGTTGACCGGTTTCGGTGAAACAGCCATTTTGGATGGTAGCCGAAGATAGAATGGAGGTCGTTAAAAAGTACCATATATTTAAAATGTTCGGGTTTTTAAATGACGACACGCGATTGCGCGTGGCTACTCGGCGTATTTTTGTATTGTTTTGATTTTTCTTTTCTTTCTTAAAATACAATCTTCTTTAGTTTGATTTTTATTTTACTTGTATTTTTTCTAGTTTATTTAGTAGATGCTTGGTACAATTTTGCCACCAAATTTTAGCCCAAAGATAGATAGCTTTTGCTATAAAAATGTTTGATTTTAGAGAATATTAATTCCACTGAAACAATTAGTAGGTATGTAGTTTACTTCACATTTTAAAATAAAATTGAAATTTTCCTAATTTATTGAATGCTTAGATGTTGCAGTGTAAATTATATTCAGAGCGAGAGAAAAGGTGATGATTCCCTTCCAGTTCTGTACATGACAATATATACCTAGAACTCATCCAAGTATTTAATCTGTCTGTATGTTGATGTACAAACTTCAAGAGCTTGAAAAATCCCAACAGTTTAATAGTTCTGCGCAAAGAGACAAACAAATTGTCCAATCATATCAATGTAATATTCATGCAGAACCACGTACCGGGAGCCCAGAAAGGCGAGGAATTAAACTTTTGGAACACGTAACCCGATCGCGTTTATTGCATCGGGTTCGAGCCTTTTCATCGGAAGCTTCTTTTTGTCCATTTCTTACATCATTAGGTATAAATTAATGGAATCCTTTTAAGCATTGACGGCGGTGTTGAGTTTCACACTCAATTGTATTTATGTGAATGAAAACGTCAGGTACCATCGCAACTAATTTAATTTATTGCAGGTATCTGGAGGTTTAGCGAAAAAACAATGATTACTTATGTTTCATATCTTTAAGTAATAGCGGTTATGTACTCGTTTGTAAACTTAATGGTTTAAAAATATTACTTAAAATGTTATTTTCTACCATGTTCCAGTAGGTATTAGTAACATATACACGTTATAATTATGTTTAATTATAATACCTGCTAATGGTCTAGCAAAATTGATTACTTTTAGTACAGTTAAAACATCAACAATAGGTGTCAACACTGACCTAACTAAAATGTCGCTTCTTTTTCGTTACTCGTTCGTCAATTGTGTCTCTTCAACTTAAATAAAAAGCGTGTGCGTCTCGGGACGCCCGACAGAAGTGATAACTTAAACTAATCTAAGTTAAACTATTTAATATTGAAATTATTTAACTTGAGAAAAGCTTAGGTTATTACTTAATTTTATGTAAAGCGTCTGTCCGAAATACGGCTAGCGCTGTGGGTTAGAGTGAGTAAGGAGGAGCCTGCCTACCGTTGCCTTATGGGTGAGAGAAAGGGAAGCCAGACAGACTGGCGCCGTAACGCGTGACGTAACAAGCGGTTTACCCTCCCATAAGAAGTTATCATTTCAAAAAAGAAATACACATTTTGGAGTCGGGTATAGTAAAAAACTAGGTATTTTGTGATAAAATAATTTATAGTCTTATTATCAATTGTACCTATATCTGTTTATTTTGTGCAAATCATTGCAATTGATATGTTAAACGTCGATGTATAGAAAAAAAAACATTATTCGTCAAATTCCAAAAATTCCAAGACATAAATCATTTTTATGGAAAATTTATAAAGGTTACCTATTGGTAGTTATTACATTTTACAGAAAGTACTTACTCAGAAAAAAACGTACACATTTAGGTATAAAAGTAATTCACAAACCTACAATTAACCATAAAATACAAAGAAAAATGACAACTGAGAAAGACAGCCATAAAAGGGTGCACTTTGTAATAAAAAGCAGATTATAACATATTAATTCAATTATTAATTAAATAATTATACACATATTTGTGTCGTTATGAAATTTAATAGATACTTAACTTGGTTTTTAATAATGTTTTGTACTTGTATTAAGTCGTAATGCGTCTGTGCTCATTAAAGTATTTATGTTATCCTGGTATCATAGTTAGCCATAGTTCATCATAGTTAACCATATGGTTAACTAGAAGAAACTAAAAATCAAGTAGAATCCTACATAAATTATATGTAAAATTAAGTTTTAAAAATTAAATTGTTTTACAACTTTAGAGATTTAGTTTTTTTTTTCAAAAATCATTAGGACAAACCTGATATAAACTAGGTAATTAAGTCGGTTCATAAATTGAAAAGATATTAGACATACATCAAAAATAGAAAAAAGAAAAACTTAAAATTTAATCTCATTCCTTTTGAAGTTCGTTCAATAGAGTAAAAATGAATGATACGTCATAATAATTAAGATGTGTCCAAAATAAAATGAGAAACAGCGATCGGTTGTCTCTTTCACGGTTTTTGTCTTTCTATCACTGATTACGATTACCAAAAATTATTTTATAGATTTGTGTACGAAAAGGGATCAAAATTATATTTATTTAGTTTTCTATTTCCACCCATCTGTATTTCATCGGTAGATAATCGAATGTTTTTTACGGTTTTATAGCTTGATAGTATATTTTAGCGTTAATTTGGAACTTTTCTAAATTTTATTGAAATTCTAAGTAGATTCGTTAAAAATGCTCTTATAACAATATTTACATACTTTGTTTATCCATTAGCCTTAAATCGAATATAAATGTTACTTCATTTTTAGAGTATTAAATAAAAGCGTCATGACTACAAGCCTCCATCTGCTAAATCATTCCTGCGAACGGAACTCTATCACTTCCACACCATAAATTATAACACCATAAAAACATAAAAAACTCATTTATCGATAAACTGGAGTCGACTTAAGCACGGCCCTAATCTTCATAGCTCCGCCCACTAAGTCCCGCCCCAAAACGTCTCCGCCAATAAGGCGGCGGCATTGTTAGTAAGGCAGGCGTTTATATCCGCCGCCTTTAGTGTTGTGAACGACTTTTTTGCATTTATGTTTTTCTTGTAATAACAAGTTGTGTTGTAATGGCGATTTTGCTGCGTCCCGCGGCTGACACCTCACGCGACGTTGAAAAAATAACGTTTGTTGTAATGATTGATCGCGTAATTGTTGTTTACGGAAAACTTTATGTAACCCTAATTACTGAGTTTAGTTTATTTTTTGTTTAATTAATTTCCTTTTTGTACTAGTGAGCCACAAGCTACGTTATTTTGGAATACGGCCATATAGTTAATTAAATTTACTTAGATACTTAAATAAGAGACATGTAATATATGACATCTCTAAATCGATAAAAATCTGATCTGGTTAAGCAATAAAATGACATAAAAAAGATACAGGTCGATACGATCTTCAAGCCTTCATGAAAAGAGCGTACTCCCACTTTAAAGGCACTTAACGTTTTTTCGTCTATGAACGGCGGTAGCCACTTACCACCAGAAGATCCACCTGCTTGACTTCCCTTTATATCATAAAAAGGAAAATACCCTCTTACTTAATATCGTATTCTTAGAATACCTACTGTATTTCATTAATAAATTTAATTTTTAGGTAGGTAGATCTTTTCGCACCATAAGAGAAGAAAACGTGGCAACAAACCCTAAATAAACCCCATAGGTAGTTAGGTTAGATCAGTTTTCCTAACTGCAGCAGGATCATCTGTCGTTCTCTCGCCCCCTTACTATAAGTATAGGTACCCATGTAAGGTATACAATTTAAAAAAAATTGTTTGTGTTTTCAATTCGAAAAGTTCCGACATGAATATATATCTATGTTGTACGTAAATACACAATATATGTTTACATTATATATAGTTATATTATCAATGTATTTCAACCCAAACTCAACTCTCGTGTAAACGAGGCCAATATATGCATATACTTATATTCAGAGGTGTCGGTAACGGTAACAGTGTCGCGAATTCAATAGTTTTTTCCAATCTCAAAAAATATATTTGTTTGTTTGTTGTTCAAAAATGTCTAACGCGCCTAAGAAGTTTTCACTTCAAAAACGGAGACATCTCACACACGGCTGTCTGATCCCAAACTAGACAGGACAGAAGTAATCAGACTACTGATCAACATGAATATATCCTTAATAGCTTAGGTACCTGTGGTCTAACTCTCATCATTTATTTATTTATATAGGACAACTTACAAAACATACACTAATACATAATTTACAAACATGTTTTACAAATATTTTCTGAGTGTTGTCTTACTTACAAGTTGCCACGGCATGGTAAGGGACAGTTGCATCTAAGATTACAATGCAATATCTATAATAATACACAAAAAATACCGAGGAATTGTTCGGTCTAATACCAGCTGCAAATTTCCGCCATCGTTCCACACGGCCAAATTTTCATCCTCATTACCTGGATAGTTGGCGCTCCACTTCTGTGCGCTTTTCGAGACACTTTTTGCCCCGTACACGTACAACCAATCTATAGAACGGGTTATCGTCTGCGGTATTTCGGGACCGATACGACCTTCAAACCTTCAAGAAAAGAGCTTACTCCTTACTAAAAAGTCGGCAAAGCGTTTGTGACTCCTCAGTTGCAGACGTTCATGGGCGGCGATGGTCACTTGTCATCAGGTGACCCGTCTGCAGGCCTGCCCCCTCTAACATAAATAAAAACCAAAAAACTAGCATAATGTGCTATTAAGTAAATACCTACGACAATCTTCGTCCAAAATTTGGTCCAACGCCTCAATTCTACTATTTTAGACATG